ACAGGGGCTCCCCAAGAGTCAGCACAGACACCGTGGCAGCGAGTTTGATTTTCTTGGTGGGTGTGGCTAACAGTGGTGACTGGCATGGTTTTCCTTTGAAAACCACCTTATTGGGAGGTAAAACAGATATCATATTGTTCTGTAGTTCAACCACATGGAGCAATATTGTACAATTGCTACCACAATCAGTTTCAAAGACTTTTCATAATGCTTTTTTACAACGAAGGACTTGCTATTAAAACACATCTCACGGAGCTACCAACTCGTCTCACTAGTCATGATTTTGAAAACTGTAAGACACTTTTTTCAGAACATGGTACCGGAAACACTTATGCACGAAATGCTTACGTGTGAATGGTGTTTCATTAGGCCCTTACACGTTCCCAAGGCTTCGGTCCGGTCGACATTTCATTCTTGGCTTCCTTGACTGGAGGGGAGCACTTTGTATTTTCCCCAACATTTTTATTGGCACACAATTTACATATCATACAACTGAATATTTCGATTGTTCAATCCTATCAAGGGGAATTGTACAATCTGCGCGACATCTGCCTTAGAGGACCCCCCTCCCCCCATGGTTAAATCGCCTTTTGCATCCGCCCTACACATGCTAGTTGGGATCTAAAAGCCCTTCTCTCTGGATTTTGTCCTGTGACAAAGCCCCTGCGACACCTGTTCTCCCTCTAACCCCCAGCCACCTGCGTGCACTGAATAAGCACACGTTCTCTGCTCCAAGGGGTTGGACTGGAGTTTCCCTCGGCTTCCCTGCCCTTTCATGTCCACGGGTTTGCCAGCCCCCGGATAAAAACAGACAAGAAATGAAGCAGTGCATCTCAGAGGGCCTCTGAGACGCCTTGTTCTGGTGCAAAGAGGATTGCTCCGCCTCCCCTCCCTTCTGAATCCAGGGTCCTTTGTTGTGACAAAGGCGCTGAATGCTGCTTCTCAGCAGCCCCACGGACCTCAGGGCCACCCTTGCCCTGACCCTTACTGTGTATTTAAAAGAGTTTGTTTGTTTGCATCAGTGGGTCACCAGGCCTTTCCTGTGAGGTGCCTCTGGGTGGGCTTGACCCACTAACCTTTCAGTTAACAGCCAGTGTGCACCTGCTGGCATCACCCACAAACTAGATCTGCCCTCCAGACCCACCATCATCTAGTCGATTCTGACTCCCAGTGAGGACAGGGTAGAACTGCCTCCTTAGTTAAACGCGTTCATGTGGTAAAAGAGGTCCCCCGGGCATTCAAACTCTAGAGTACTAGCCTGAAGGCTGCAGGTTCGATCCCCCCCTCCTGTGTCTCAGAAGACGTGCCTGGCAATCGGCTTTTATAAAACTTATGGCCCAGAAAACCCCAAGGAGCAGCGCTGCTCACTAACACACAGGCTCGCTCCCCGGGGTTGAAATCCACCCCATTGCAATGAGTTTGGTTTGAGTTTCCACCCCTCCCAACGCCCCCCCAAATCACCATTTTATGACAACTTACCTTTCAAATCACATCTCAGCAAAGTTTGACTAACTTTCCGATAGCCCCCCTTTACCCCAAACAACTTTCAATTGCTTATTCCACGGCACCCACCTGCCCAAGCTCTTTTGATAAAGAGCAGAAAGGTGGGACTGGCCAGGCCTAGATGGGAAAGTCGGGGGATCCAGCATTTGAAAGCTGGGGGGCATCTGGAGACTGGTGACGGAGGCGCGCACACGGCGGGGAGAAGACCTCCTCGGCCAGGCACACGATTCAGGCCCCTCCAGAACATGGCCCTTGACCTCAGGCCAGGGAATTCACTCACCTTAGCGCTGTTTCAGGAGAGAGAGAGCGATGAGGCTTTCTGCTCCCATGAAGATTCACAGCCTCAGAAACCCGCGGGGACAGTTCCCCTCAGTCCTGCGGGGTCCCCGGGAGTCTCGGTGGCCTCGATAGCAGGGAAGTTTTCGAGCGCTGCTTCAAGTCGCAGCTTTTGGGGTTCAAGCTGCCACCCCTTTGGCTAGTCCACTAAGTGCTTGGCTGAGGCACCACCAGCGCTCCTATCAACCAGGCTGGGCTGTAGAATCTGTGAAGGGTGAGAAACCGAGTCTGAAGCATCACCTAGTTCAGTCCAATTGCCAGGGGCAGTAGTTCCATACGATGCCTTGAAGAAAACCCACAGCAAACTTGCCCCCCACTCAATTCCAACCCATAGTGATCCCCCCGGACATAGAAGTGCCCCTCCCCCTTTGGGTTTCTGAGACTGTAAAGCTTAATGGGAGTAGAAAGCTTCATTTTTGTTCCTCCTGTGGCGTGACTGCTGGTTCTGAATTGCTGGACTTGCGGTTAGCAGGGCCCCGTGTAGCCCACTACACCACCGGGCTCCTTAATGTTAGGATAGTCCACCAGAGCAGAACGGGGATGAACCTCTGAAGTTCGCACCCCAGGATAAAAAGACCCCTCGTTTCTATCCTCTCCTAAGAAAGGGGTCGTTAAAAAACTGTCCCGAAGGGCTGCTGGGAGTTAGTTAGAATTGAGTTAGGGGAGGGTCACTGTGAGTGAGAATGCGTGGTGAAACGGAAGGGCAGTGACAGGATGACCCTCGATGAGCTGGAGGGACGCAGTGGCCCCCCACGGGAACCATTGTGAGGATGGCGCAGGGCTGGGGGGGTGACATACACAGGGTCGCGATGGGTTGGAACCAATTCAACGGCACCTAAGAACATGAGTGGGAATCGGCTGCGTGGCAGTGGGCCTTTCTATCTCCGACGGTCCATCCACCACTGATTTGTTTTATAGATACAACAAACACAGACAGTGCCCTTATAGACGAATATAGCCGTTCGCATGCGCAAAGGTGTCCCATTGCTGGGGGGTGGGATCAGGGGACTCTTCGCCATTGAGCGACCGAGACATCGTTCCCACTTGGAACACATTCCAAGCGAACAGTGCCCAGCACTCTCCAGGGAGCTATAAAGGACATTGCTGTGACTTGTCACGGAAAGTCCGGTCTCACAATTACACTGTCAGCTTTACCCCCAAAAAAATCATTCTGCAGAAGCAGAGTCAGCAACCCTGACTGCAGCCTTGCTTCTCCCTCGCACTTCCTCCTAATTTCCACAAAGCGCGTGGCAGAGCGGGAGCTGGGTGCAGTCCTTGTCCCATGCTGCTCAGTGAGTCACGGGTCGGGGTGAGGGGGGTGGGGTCCGCCCATCTCGCTCTCTCAGTTCACCTTCCAGACTTTCCCAGGACGAGCAGCCGAGCGCTAATGAACAAACGACTGATTATGTTGTCCAAGGAGCTGCATACTGTGCCAGTAAACTGCTGTCTTTCTCCTTCCCCTCTTTCCACAGGACTATTTTTACCCCAGATACTTAGGTAAGTCCAAATCACTACCTTCGTAGTTGACACAAAGTCTGTAGCGATTTCAGAAATGAGTGTTTCATGTGGGAGGATCAATTGGTCCAAATCCCATTACCGGATTATTTCTGGGAGGAAGAGTATTTAATTATTGCGGTTCAGATGTAAAGAAAAAAAATTTTTTTAAATGTTTATTTGATTTGTAATGATCCCTATGAGCTGAGCCTCTATCTAATGCCCACATTTGCAAACCTCTTTTCCACTCCGATTCCAGAGTTAGCCCATTGTTTGGCCTATCCTTTTGATATCTGCCCGATTGCTAATTGAAAGTAGTAACATTAACACACACACACCCCCCCACACACACACACACACTTAATTTGAACAGCATTGTACAAAAGAATGCATAAGCAAAGGACCTCTTAGCCATTGGAGCAGGGGTGTCAAGTTGCCCCTGGAAAATTCCACCGTGCACCTATGAGAGAACAAGAGTGAAATGGAGCCCTGGGGTTCCAAACTGTTCCTGTACCTGAGACCCGAGTCCGCTGAGAGATGTCTACCTTGGGGAAAAAGCCTGGGAACTACTTCCAAACAATCAGCCCCTGAGCCCCATGTGGGGCACAGCTCAGCACGACACACATGTGCTGCATGACTTTTCTTATCGCGAACGTCGTCTTGACCTCGCTGACGGAAAGAAGGGCCTGGACTCCCCTTGAAGAATGGCCAACTTAATGAAGCATAACGGTCTTTGGGTGCATATTACATATAATGAGAGAGAGACGTTTGAGAGTTGCATTTTGCTTTTCATGTTCAGAGTGCATCCTGGCACATTTTCTGTCCACTTGGTGTCCTCTGAGAGGTCTACCCTGGCTGGGTGCAAACTCTGGCATCGAGCACAACAAGCCCATCGTTGGCCCTGAAAAGACCAGGAGAGATCTGCTTGATGCAGGGGGATAGATTTCACCTTGTCTACCTTCCACCAGGCCTGGTTCTTTGGGCTATGTTGGGTGTGCAGTCTTGATGGCAAAGAATGATTAGTTACCCAGGTGAGTCCAACCGTCAGGTACCATGCTGTTGCATAGAACCAGTCACGATGCATGCGTAAGCACCGTCACCTACTGGAGGACCTGGATGAAGGCCCCAACACCCATTCTCTACCATCTTCAACTACAGAGCAGATTATGCCTGAACGCATGTGGTCGAAAAGCCAGCTGTCCATTCCCAGGGTTCCCACGCAGCGCTCCGTTAGAAGGCTGTGTGTAGGATGTCAGATTGTCCTTGGAGATTTTCCTCCAAAGCAAATAGACTTTTAAGTTAGGGACAGAGTTCCCTGAAATTAAGGTTTCATTCTCTGATCATAGTCAGAAAACTCAACTGAATATCATGAGGGAGTCTTTGGTACAGTAAGAGAAGGGACCTGCTTGGGAAACTTCAGATAATGTGATTTTGCACACTTGGGGGGTGATTCGGGGCACATAGTTTTGACATTTTGGTTGAGCATTTTCCTATTTGTCCTTGTGCAAACCTTCTGAAGTAATAATAGCGAAATAGTTATTAGACTCGGACTTTGGGTGGCACCCCATATAAATGTGAATATTCTTGCAGAGCTGTCTAGAACACCACTCGTGGTGCTGGCTCTAAAGTCTGCTCTATCTATTGACAAATGAAATATGTTGACACTATCCATTTCTGTATTTCAGAGTGCATTAATAAATATGGATCGCCATACAACAAAAGTCCAAATTTTGTTACGTGCGTTCAAAGTAAGTCTATTTCCTTTCTTTCTTTCAGCCTTTGGTGAGCTAGGTGGTTTACAGGGCAGATTGGGTGTCCATCAACAGCCCACACACGTTTTTGGTCCATCTTCTTGATTGCAATCCCTAGAATGTAGCATCTCTTAGCCCACATCCTCCCTCCATTCCTGTTTCTATTCCACCTCCTTTCCTAACCCTTTTATCATTTGTCCCTGAGTAAAAACTGCCCTTTTTACCTCAAATGGTTCATTCTTCTAAGGTGTGTATCCCTCATTAGTATTATTATTATTCCTCTTACAGACCTTTCGATTGCTTGACTGAAACCCTAAGCCACGAGGGTTGGTTCATTTCTAGATCTGAAGAGTAACGAAGGGCCATCTATAGGCCTGGGTTCCACCGGAAGTCTGGTTTATTTTTATGATACGTTTTGTTCCACATTTTCCTCCCACTCTGCCGAGGGCTTTCTATTATGATCCCTCTCAGGGTTGTGGAGACTAATGTCCGCCTGGTTCACTACCCCGTTAAACTGTTTCCGTGTATCTTCAGTTTTCTTCACTCCTCTTTCCTCTAGACAGGAAGAGACCCCGAGTTGCTTCTTCGATGGCCATACACTAGCTTTTAAGACCCCAGTCACTCCTCCCCGTGGCCACCCCTCACCACAGTACTATGTAGAGTGTGGTCTTGGTGGACCATGTTATGCCAATCGACCTTGGTGTCCCCTGGGATTATGCTACTGAGCCCCGCCAGGCCTTGTGAGTCTGTCTCCTTCTGTCTTCCTATAAGCTCTGTAGTTGATGCAACTTTAGACTTTATTGTGATCTGTAGGGAGAGTCTTGAATATCTCCATTATCTCTAAGAGCTGTGTGGTATCTTTTATTTATTTATTCATTCATTCATTTATTTATTTATCCATTTATTTATTT